TAAAGCGCTCAGCTACTACTGGGGTAGGCTGAATACCTTTGTGGTCGGATTAGCAGTCCTAACATCTGTAAGATGCGTGCAACTGATCGGGCCGAGATCTCTCACGTGGTGTGACAGGGACCGCAAAGTATGGGGAGCACCTGTGAGCCCAAGATGCTCCAGTCATAAAGCCTAGTTGAGCGCAATACAAAGTTGCGCCAGAGCTGACCAAAATGTGAGCTATGCCCCATCGGGGCCGGTCTCAAAAATGTTGTCATCAGAATCACAGATGTTGAAAAGGCGTCTTATGTTATCCAGGCACATAAACTTTCGTACCTCCTGCTTGAAAGCCTGTGGATTGTGAATCTCCCGCAGCTGTGAAGGAAATTTGTTCCAGATATTTACATAAGCGAAAAGGAAGAAACGTGAACGTAGTTTCTTCCTCGCTGGCAGCGGGGCAACTGTGCAGTGCTTGTTTCGAAAGTTGAATTCTGATGCTCTTCTCAGTGTCAGGCTGGGGATATCACTGTGCACCGCTTGGTATATTAACTTATGTAAGAAGCACAGGTTTAAGATAATGCGCCGCAGCCATAGATGCTGGAGTTTGAGATGGTTACACCTCTGTAGGTAACTAAGCGCCAGGCCTTGTGGGGCTACTATTTTGGTAAACCGCCGCTGAGACCTTTTGAGCAATATGCGGTCTTGCTTCCGCAAATTACTAAAGATAAAGGGGCAATATTCCAGCTGCGGACGAACATGACTGCAGTAAAGCTTCATCCGTGCTTCAGCCCAGTTAATGTGGCGGCCTATGTGGAAGACCATTCTGCGTGCTTTTGCTAACTGATACTGCACAATCTCTGAAAAGTTGAGGGTCATAGATTAGCGAATACCTAGGTAAGTAGCTAACGCTTTTAGTTGAATGGGCGTACCAATCAACGTAAACGCACCATCCGATATGGAGCATTAATGGGTCAGAATACTAGATTTATCAACAGCACCTCAAAGTGCTGAAACTGATTATGTTTCTGCAGGGAACGATGGCGTTATTCTGGTCCAACACCACAGGCACTTGCATCCGACTCTCAGCTAAGAAAAATAGAGCTCTAAACTAGCAACTTAATGCACAGTCGTGTGCTTTAGCACCTGTGGCTCACTAATCAGTCATGCTTGCGATGGCGCAACCCCCAAAAGAAGTGGTATTCGTGTCTAACCAAAGCGGAACCCAAGGTGTTTCTCACCTGGACACATTTGTGAATTTTCTCACATTGGTATTTTTTATTATCACTGAAAGACCACCCTGGCTCGTTAGTGTCAGTGGTATAACCATAACGACGTATAAAATGGCCTCAAAAAGTCGAAACTGGTAATATTTCTGTTGGAAATGCTTGCGTTATCCTAGTTTAGACGGGGCAAATGATTTTTATGTTACCTTGTCTTATCCATATGGACTCAGCTCATGCGGCTTTGATATAATTTTCGCATCCACATCGGAGCATTAAAAACGTTGAATTCCACATTCATAGTGGATGCTGCGGCCCAATATACTCTGAAACTCGCACATGGTCGCATTCTGGCTGTGGGCTAGCTACACCATATCCTGTGCTGTTCTACCTATGTAATAATTCTTACAGCCCTACCGAGTATTTCCTTGAAACCTTTCCGTCTGGTTTCTCAACTTTTACTACGTTTACTGAGAAAGTATGCTTTTCGGCCCACTGCGTCATACTTCGCTACGGCAGCGAATTACACGTTATCGTAGGCATTACCAGTTACTACTCCATATTCGGAACTTAATACGCCTAGCCGTTTTTTGTATTATTTCTTTCTTTTTTCTGTATCTGCTTACAAAGCAGAAGGTGAATTTATCGGAGGCTCAAAAATTGGCGCTATCCGCCGCCGACTGCTAAAAATGCAAATATCTCCATAACCACTGCACCTAGCTTAATTATTTTACCTTTGTCGTAACCAGCGCCTAGGGTTTGTCCTAGACCGCCCATTGTTGTCCCGTTTTAGTTAACATTTCGGCTCCAAAACGGCGTTGATTCCGCTTGTTTGGAGATTTACACTTTGAAATTCGCGCCAGGTTTGCGGTTCTGGTATGCTGTTTCTGGGCTATATTTTGGCTCCATTTTCCAATATTAGTGTATTTTCTAGTTAAGTGGGCTGGCCTTTCAGTCGCACTTTTCTAAGAAAGGCTAAATTGTTAGCCACTACTGTTATTTCCTTTGTTTCCACCCTCCACTTTTACGATCTAATTTTGGCTTGCTTATTCCTTTCCATGAGCCCGCTACTAATGGATGCTCGAAATGCGGTGATGTGACCAAAGAAAATGGATCAAATTTCTCTAATTGATGTTTACTAATGGATTCAGGCACCTCAAGGTTTGGCAGCGGTAGCCGGTGAAATGCGCAGGCATCGTACATAAGCTACGGAGACCCAAACTTCTGCCTTCAAACATGTCGAGGCCCACGAAACTTTTGTATTTATCCCTGCTTTACTGTTCGGAAAGATAAACACGATCAAAAGCAGTTGTTAACGATATTTCTTCTCCATATATGAGCATGGATGTTATGTACAATTTGATCTGATCCCACGCAGGAACAGCATCTAGCGCTTGTCTAGAAATATATCTTTATTTATTTATTATTTTATATATAACTATGGGAATTCAGCAGATACGTATTACGCTCGCTAGCTCTATTCGAATTTACGGCCGCAGCGCGAAGAAAGAGTAAATAATTTTACCGCTCGTATTGCTCAAGTTAATCCAATATGGATTACAACAATCGTTATACGCGTTTTGAAGAAGTCATGAAAATTCACTGCCTGGTTGCTGGAATTATAGATGAAAGCCTAAAGGAAAAGATATTATCACAGGAAGAAGCAACTCTCTCTTGGGAAACAGCTTGCAACCATTTTGGGCATAAGTAATATCTGAAAAATCAGTTGTTTACTTTTGATGCCGCCCTGCCTGCAGACGTTGTGCGTCAACTGACTCCACCGTTCCTCTGAGGATATTGTACGACGGTTTGTGTGCTACCACTGCGGTAATTAACACACCTCAGCCAGTGCCCTAACTTACGTACGCAGTGCACGAACTACGATAAATTAATTCGTACAGGCCGTGCCCTACCAGCACAAGTTTCCTTCATATCGCTAAACAAAAACGATGGTGAGTCATGTGGTTCACAGTTAAACTTTATGAACCATGTATTTGCGAAATGCTTAACCATGAATAATGTACCTTCGTATATGATCACACTTGTTGTTAATGGGCGGTCTCTTTTATTTCATCTAGTCACCAGCTCAGCAGTGGCATTTATAGACCGGAAGGCACTTCACCATTGCTTAAGTTGGAACCGGGTGCAACAGTTTTCAGCATTCAAACCATGAGGTCATCGGCCTACTTATGAAATAAATAAATAAATAAATATAGGTATATTTCTAGACAAGCGCTAGATGCTATTCCTGCGTGGGATCAGATTAAATTGTACATAACATACATGCTCATATATGGAGAAGTAATATCGTTAACAACTGCTTTTGATCGTGTTTATCTTTCCGAACAGTAAAGCAGGGATAAATACAAAAGTTTCGTAGGCCTCGACATTTTTGAAGGCAGTAGTTTGGGTCTCCGTAGCTTATGTACGAATTCTGCGATGTTCACTGGCTACAGCTGCCAAATCTTGAGGTGCTACTAAAGAGAATTTGATCTATTTTCTTTGGTCACATCACCGCATTTCGAGCATCCATTAGTAGCGGGCTCATGGAAAAGAATAAGCAAGCCAAAATTAGATCGTAAAAGTGGAGGGTGGAAACAAAGGAAATAACAGTAGTGGCTAACAATTTAGCCTTTCTTAGAAAAGTGCGACTGAAAGGCCAGCCCACTTAACTAGAAAATACACTAATATTGGAAAATGGAGCCGAAATATAGCCCAGAAACAGCATACCAGAACCGCAAGCCTGGCGCGAATTTCAAAGTGTAAATCTCCAAACGCGCGGAATCAACGCCGTTTTGGAGCCGAAATGTTAACTAAAACGTGACAGCAATGGACGGTGTAAGACAAACTCTAGGCGCTGGTTAAGACAAAGGTAAAATAGTTAAGCTAGGTGCAGTGGTTATGGACACATTTGCATTTTTAGCAGTCGGCGGCGGATAGCGCAAATTTCGAGCCTCCGCTAAATTCACCTTCTGCTTTGGAAGCAGATACAGAAAAAGAAAGAAGTAATACAAAAACGGCTAGGCGTATTAAGTTCCGAATATGGTGTAGTAACTGGTAATGCCTACGATAACGTGTAATTCGCTGCAGTAGCGAAGTTGACGCAGTGGGC